AAACCTATCCTTCTTTTCAAGATTTGATAGGCGCAGATCCTTCACTGCGCTTCTTGAATATGTGTATTTTCCAACATGCGACTCTACCGCCAAAGAAGTTAGGAGAGACCTCAGATTTTCGGCTGTGAAGCAGATTCTGGTGAAGGTAAGGCGGTTGAAGTAGGGCTTAACGTTGCGTTCATCTGAGGACTGAACGCTCTTTGCAACCCTGGCAGCCGCCCATTTCCCAACCTCAACAACAAAGTCCTCATCATCAACATCAGAGAACCCAACGTTGCGCACACTCTCCGGAAGAGCCTCGAGGATCAACATGAATCTCTCCTTCACCTCTCTTCTGGCCTCTCTTACAGCTGGGCTCGCAGGTCCAAGCTCCCTCTCCGATTTCCTCTTTACCCTAACATCACCCAATCCAAACTTAATCAACTTCGGTAACCCCTCGAAGATCACCTTAGCCTCCTGAACCGTAAGTCCCCTAACCCCAAAGAATCCCAACTCCTTCAACGCGCCCCAGTTCCTGTGGAGCTCAATGAACCCAACGCCCCTCATATCCGGATGTCCATCAAATACCCTCTGCCACACACTCCTGCGAGTTCCTGCATCTCCCCCTCTCCAGATCACACGGGTCAGACTGGTCTTTTCGACAATAGTCTTAGCAAGGATCCCATGTTGCGTCGAGTCCTCATCGAGACAATAGTGCTCCGCCGAGAAGAACTGGCGCTCGTGCAGCTGCTCGGTCCCCAGGATCACTTCCACATTCTCGCAAGCATCGATCAAGTTGGGAAGGAGCACCTTCTCTAGTGAGCAAGTGAGCCAGCAGTTAATGCTTGGTGGGAGATGGATAGCCTTGACGTTCACGGCCAGATCGTCCCTCTCACGCAGGGTGCGCAGAAGCAGCGGGAGACGCTTCTCCAGCTGTTGGGTCTTGGAGGATAGGTGGTGGTGTGCCTCGCAGAGGGTCTTCCCGTCGAAGGGGAAGACCTCTGTCGATACGTTCAAGGGAAGGTTGGTATATAGAAGCTCTGACACGATGGAGTAGTAAAAACGATTCACTTTGCACAGCGAGGAAAGCTGGAAAAGGTTACAAAGCCCACAGCCTTGGGCATAAGTCGTCACCGCCTTCGACGACTCCGATGCTGGAATCAAGTTCTTAATGATCTCAAGATGGATCTCCGCCGGCAAACTTGGGAGCACCATCGGTCTCCTCTGCACTTGGGCGGGAGTAGTAGTGGTAGTGGTAGTGGTAGGAGCAGCCATGTTTGGAAGCTTCCTCCGAATGAGCTCGTGGTACTGGTTCTGGTGCTGGTGGTTCCAGTTCTTTGGTGCTTCGGGCACGTAGAATGTCTGATGCGAATGCTCTTCCTCGCCCTCAGCAGCAGCAGCTTGAAACCCAAGGAAGCCGGTGTAATTTGCTTCAGTCTCTACGCACCACACCTGCGGCCAAGCTTGGTGACTTGTCATTGCGCCGGTAGTCTCTTGGGAGCTTGGTACTGGTGCGCTGGTAGTGGTCTCGGCGGCGGCGGCGGTAGTGGTGGTGGTCTCTGCAGCAATTCTGCGGCGGGCTTCGTGGAGGAATTGCTGTGATGCTGTGGAGATCGAACGATTGTTTGTCAGTATGATTCATAACCTGCCAGAGCCTTTGCATCGAAATTTTCTTCGAGGAAAAAAAGGAATGAGAGATCGTGGTTGCATCGGCGGGATGAGAGTGTCATGCACTTACTATTTCGTACATCGCCGCAAAATTTGGGGGAGAGGGCGTGCTTCATATTCTCTTGCTGATGGGGCGGTCCCACTGCTAGCACGCTTTTACGCTCTCTACTGGAGTGCAGGTACATATAAAGCGGTATTGAGAGCAGAAGTAGAGGAAGAAGACTGGCATATGATGAAATCTCGGGGCAGTATTCAGACCACGACATTGGTATATCAAAGTATTTAATTACTATAAAAATTGCTTCGCAGAAGTGGTAATTATAGTAGTTGGTATGAGTATGAGTATGAGTAGTTTGGATGTATGGTATTGGTAGTATGAAATAGCAGCTGTATAATTTTAAGAATAGTAGTAAGGTGTGGTATTTAATTAATATAATGCGAAAAAGAGACTTGTAAAACCGAATATGTGAAATTGTGGAGGTCGAGTATTCGGGGGTGGGGAGTAGTAGTTTAAGTATTTAATGCTGGTGGTAGTGGTGGTGGTGCTGGCTGGTGCTAGTCAAATATTCCATTTTCCAAAAGGTGCCGGTAGCGGGTAATTAATACGAAATTTTTCACTCTGGTACCACATTAGGCCGGCAGGCACGCGAGCAGAGAGTCCAGTCAGAACTAGCAAAAGAGACAAAGAACGATGGGGAAAAATAACCCCTCATTGTGAATCCATATTATTATTACGCAAGTACCCGGCGGCTCGACTCTTCCGAATCGACAATTTTTCTTTCCCAGTGCCGCAGCGACCCCCCTCCCCCTCCCCCTTCCCCACGGTCCTGATTCGGGTCTGTCCGTAGCAACTTTTCTACGGTTGCATGGTGGTCCTGGATCGATTGTGTGGTGGCTGTTTGTTACAACTATTCCATACAACAGGTTATTACTTGATACAACGTGGGCAGGGCCGCGGGGGGGATGCACTGGCATGGGAAAAGACAGAGAAAAAATAAATAATCGAGATGCCCGTAACTAATTGCGATGTGGCCAGCCAGCCATCCAGCTCCCTACTCTACCAGCTAGCTATTAGCAAAGCTAGGCTGAAGTCCTGGTAAAAAAAAAAGGAGTGGTGTTTTTAATAGAATTTGAGCAGATATCATAACACTTGGCAGTAACATAACTTACTCTCTCCTACATGACATTTTGCAAGGCTGGGGGCATTGAAGATTGAGGATTGGGGCTTTTTTTTTTGGCATGTGGTTTCGACGAGCAAGTGAGCGATATAAAAAGTGATGGTCATGCTCGCTCCTGAGACAGGGTATGTGCACTATGGCTAGAGTAGAAGTGCTTTCTAAAGTACCTACCTCCTACACATGTATTGAAATCTGATGAACCTGAACCCCCCGGTCAACCAAACTAACCAACCAACCGACATCGACCGAATAATAGCCAGAGATAGGTTTCCAGGGGAGTTGCACTGCACGATATATTAACTATGATATACGAATAGGAAAAACTTTTTTCTTTGTTTATATTGATTTGATGCGGAATAATTCCCGAACGTGCGTGCTGGCGCAAGCAGTGCAGTCAGGCGAATATCGGGTCCGCTTCTGATAGAGTACCGGTACTCTATGGAGAAGCAAGATAGATAGATATTCTTCTCTGCAACTCCTCCCTTGACTTGACGGCCAACTAGAGTAGAGGGGTGAAAAGGAAGGGATAAATTGAGGGGAATGCCTGTCTACCTATTTGCCCTATCCATTTTACTTATGTTGATCTAGTCACTTCCAGCTAGTAGGGGAAATTCGGTATATTATTATTTTTTATTCCTGCCCTGTGAGAGTGAAATACCCCATTCGAGAAGGAAATGCCCCGGGAGTTTCGTTCTGGAACCACGTATGTAATGTGGTAACTACTCAGAGTAGATAGGATAGTCTATTCCGGTAGAAGTTCTCCAATTCCTAGGAACAACCTAGAATCCGAAAATGATATTCAATTTAAAGAGCTCCTTAGGACTGCGAATGAACCCAACCCATGACACACATCCAACCATCCACTGGGGGTACTTATTTCGAGAAAATTTGGCAGCGGTGATCTAGAGTGAAGTAAAATGACCCGCCCACTCCAGCCCAGCCCAGCGATCCATAACCCATGGGTGCTCCTACTGTGCGTTTACTCTACCACTAAAAAAAAAAAAGTGGTATGATCTTTCGCTGTATGGTGGGGTAAGGTACCGGCAATGGCGCCTGGAGGATGTATTTCCAAAGGAGGACCCGGTGGCTGACTCGACTGGTGAACAGCCTCCCTCACTCACAGTCAGGGTTGCGAAAATATTTCGCTCAAAAAAAGTTATTCTGACACTTGGCAGAGGTAGAGTACAGCTGCAGAGTATGATCCATCTCCATGAAGGGCACAGGGGTACATATGAATCGCTGGTTTTGAATGATGATGGACGACATGTCCCACGTATGTTCGGTACAGGGCCGCCGTATGTAGGTACAATTTGTGAGAAAGATTTTGAATGGCGGACAAGGCAAGAGGTCGCTTCTTTTTTTTTTCTCTTCCTTCATTTGCTTGTTTCTTCGGGGATAACCTGAGCTGGTCAGAGAAAGCTACGGGTGGGTGTTTTATGTAGTAGTGGTGTGATATTTCTAGAAAGAGATGGTGGTTTGCAGGTTAACCGTTAACGTTCGGAATATCTAGCCACCGCGACCGAGCTAGCCTACAAGGGGTGGGGGGGGGCGATTATTATGTTTCACCACAAACAGCACGCCGGGATGCCAAGAGCTCGGACCCTACCCTGATGAACATCAAACAGTGTACTCTACCGACTCGAGACTCGAGACTCGGGACACCTCGAATCGCATCGGACCCACGTTGAATTTCGCGGGAATCAAATTCGCGCAACGAAATTAGAAGTGATTTTGCTCCCGACCTTTCCGGCGAAGGATATTTTTTCCCTTCCATTAATGGGTTTCGGCGCACTGATGAGTGAGGTTGATTACCCCCGTTATTAGACAGCTGAGGGAGTTTGGAGCTGCTACTGTCTTGACTCGGCTACGTAGAGCGTGCCTAGGTGGGATCCGTTCGGTTTTCTCCACTTTGACGGAGAGTAAATTCCCTTTGTCAATTCTAGGGGATTGCCCCATATGGCAAGTTCTCGTGGGGTTGTTTACGGTTCATCAACATCGCAGAGTAGGTGCTCTATTTCTACATCATGTATGGCTCCAAGTTTGTGCAAGTATGGCCCAAACTTTAGGTTCGTAGCCTTAGCGGGCAAGAGTACCTTACTCTGGCATGAGTAGAGTACCGTTTAGGTTCTTGGGCGGTGTCCCAGTGTCCAGCTGATGATCGTGTTGTACCTACACATGCACCTACAGCAATTCAGGAGGACCCCAGATCGATCCAAAACATGGGGGTTGAGTTGTACTGCGGATCAATATTTATCTAATCTAATCTTTGAGATCTGCACTTTAATGTCTGGCTTATCTGATCCCCGAGCTGCTCGCCGGCGTAGAGATCGCAGGCTTCATGAGTAAACGAATAAACGCTAAGGTCGTCGAATTGTTCGTATGTAGTGGTTCTACTTCCAAGAGGTATCTCAATGTTTATCGCCGTATAAATACCGCTCATAATCGTCTAAGCACCGATACATCTCTACAGACTTCTCGCCACCATTATTAGCAGCCAACATAACTTATCGCAGCACCTTTTCCCTAAGGCCAGACCTACAATAAAAAAACTCTAATCCTCACCATGTGCATACAAGCCAAGTGCCCTACCTGCTGTGCGTGATCCACCCCCATTCATTCGGTAGCGAGATCGCAGGAGTACTCGCGACCAGCAACAAGAACCCGAAAATGCACGTCCTAATCTGCAATTTCCATTGGAGTAGAAGTCAAAAATACACCAAAGACTTGCAGCTGCATATTCGGGTTCTTGTTGCTGGTCGCGAGTACTCTACTCTAGAGTAGAGCATAAAGGCAGAATGCGCTGGCTGACCTCTTTGTGCAGCATACAAAACTTGGTCATGGAGCGCATCCCGAAAGCGGAATGGTGCAAATGCACGAAGCCCGAAGGAAGCCCGTACCCTCCGCAGGGGTCGGCGAGGTTTGGGTGTGTGGTCCTTTAGCTAGCTAGGTATGTATTCTATGTAGGTGAGAGGTCGGGGGGGGGGGGGTGTTTAATTTTGGTGCTGACTGCTGAGGTTTATTTTTGTAGAGTTGGAGGATCGTGAAGTCTTGGCGGATTTGGCGGGATCTTGATATTGGAGGCACGGTGCAGTGCAGCTAGTGAGAATTGGTCTGCTGGACGCGCGACGGTTAGCTTAGGTACGTGCGCGTGGGAGCCAGGCGGGTAGGAGGATTCTTTTCTCGGGCGGATATTATCAGCATCAATATGCAATATCAATATCAATATCAAAAGCCGTTCCAGTTGCAGTCCCAGCTCGAATTCCTGAAGAACACAGTTCCATCCCTCAAGCCTTATCCAAAGGTCTCCGCGCAATGTATGTGCCGATGTGATGAGACTCTGCCCGCTGCAATCCAAAGGCTTCAATTTCCAGATGAAGCTTCAACGGCCTGTCATAACGATCACACGATCAGAGGAGGTATCGTATAGGTACGCGTATGCTCTCCGTGAAGGTTTTGCAGATACTCTAGAGATGCCCACGAGGTTATCAGCACTACATGCATGAGTATTCCTGCCACAAGAGCAATGTGCAGATGTACAGGACAGGAGAGGGAATTCCCCATGCAAATCAGTCCATCCGAGATAAAGCTTGTTACATTCGCACCGACTGCCGTGGATCAGTGTGTAGAGTATGCACATACTTTACCGTACATCGGCCTCGGCCTTTGGTCGTCGGTACTCTATAGTACACGAGATCGAGAGACTGGAATAGGTACTTTACCGACCAGGCTTATCTATGTGGTTTTAGAATGAGCACACATCATGTACCCCACACGCACCTTGAGGTTGGGATATACTCCATTTGTAGTACTCTTGGTCGAATATTGGAGCTCCTGGTGGTTTAAGACTGCGCGGTTGCCAGCCCGCCGGGCGAGACCGTTGCATCACCGTAGGTATTTGCTTTCTTTGCGTTATTTTATTTTGTAAGGCCCGATGGGTGTGTAGATTTGAGGTCCTCCGGGCTGTCTCTGCTGCATGGGATATCACTCGGCCCGTCTTCTCTCTTCTGTTGAAGCCAGATGAGATCATTAAGGGGTATGTCGCTGTGGAGGAAGCGGGATTATGATTAAAATTGGAATTTAAGGCTATAATATAGCCATGTATAGAGGACAAACACGGCTTTCCAACATGTAGCCCGCCCAGTGACTACATGTACATATAATACCGAGGGTGGGGAGAGTGAGTACACACAAGTGTTTTCGCAGCTGCTAAGGTAATTCTTTGTGAGCGAGTACGTATGTATTCCTCGACGGTCTGGGGTTGGGTTGTTGGTAGACTCGGTTGTTGGTATCGCATCTGAACGAGACCCGCCTCCGCGGTTTCAATGCCTCCCTCGACGACCACCGGCGTCCTTAACTTCCCTTGAAGTCTCTCGATCTCCACTCTACTGTATTGAAGCGCGTGCAGACTCTGTAGAGTAAGTAGTTTATTGTCTAAAGTTCCCAACACAGAGCCCGCTCATACGTCGATGCCACCTGGGGTCTATCGTCAGATCATCACATAGGTAATCTCTCAACTGAGGAGCACCGGACTATACTCCCAACCCGCACTTCTCAATCTATCCGCCCCTGTAAAGTTTATACCCGTACTCAATCATATAGCATCCATAAATAAGCACCGCGTATCACGGTAGCCAGGCGATGAGGAGTATCTACACGCTGCCTAGTACTTCGAGCTACTAAAGACCCGTCTGCCTAGTAATTATTGGAGAACCATATGTGTGCATTTCATCGTTTGAGTCTACAGTGTTAAACCTCACCGTGTTTCTATGGGCCGGTTTCTGACCCATAGTGATGGAGGCGCTCTGGTCTATCCGGTAGATTGGGCGGTTGGCGGATAGGAGCGGTCGAGGAACGCCCACGCCCGCCCTCTCCCGCACACGCCAGGCTGTTTTGTTACCACATGCACCACCAACAACAACGGACCTTAACGTCCTGACCTTGGTCCACGCACAAAGACAACAATGATGGGAAGTCAGCTATCGTAGGGCAAGCTTGTAAATATATCCCATATCTGTATCATATCAGCAGAAACCAAATCCGAAATAAACTCTGACCAAGACCCTAAGTCCCACTCCCGCCCCCCAGGACATGAAAGAGCAGTGACTGCATGGCAAGCGTTTAACCGGCAAATGACCGGAGCGGCACTGGAGAACTCTCATTAAATTAAAAGTTAGTTCTGTAGAGGAACGGTTCCCCACATACATCGGTTGGACTTGGACTCATGATGTGGGACGTTTAACTACGGGGTGCCGCTAAATTATCCGAGTGATGTACTATGATCCACACTGGCCCAAACACAAACTACCGGGTAACAAATTGCATGTAAACATGTACACATTTGTTGCCACTCGGATCATTGACCTAGCGCTGGTGTCGCGAATGACTGGGGATATTTTTCATTGGATTCTCACATAAAAATTCTTACCGTAAACTACGATGAGGAAATTGAAATATACGAATACTCGGAGTCCATAATTTCTTTAGATTAAACTGTAACGTTTTTGATTTAAAATGTTGCACAACTTTTTATTTTGGATTTCGAATTTGGATCCTACCTCTCATACAAAAACAGGCCTATCATGATATCGATGCAAGAAGAAGAAATTTCATATACTTCGTAACTGCAGCAGCAGTAGTAGTAGTAGTCAAAATAAGAAACGCAATTTAAAACACACACAAATCAATTTTCAAAGGAAAAAGAAAAAGAAAAGCATTTTACTCCCAGATCCTTCCAACCCTTCCAACCACTAGCTAAAGCCCACCCCACCCACCCTACGTTGACATATATAAAAATGATATTTTTGAAAGGAACAGCTCTCTCTCGCGCGCATACTGCTACTAATACCCTGGCCCCGCGAGGTCGACGAACGGAGCAACCGTCTCTACGGCTCTCTCTACAACTGTTTTGATTCTCATTCGCAAACTTTCGTTCTTGCACTCGATGAGGAGGGTCTCGAACCAGACATTGGCAACGAGGTTGTCGATCTTGATTTGCACACCAGGGATGATCTGGTTGAGTGCGTCGAGATCCATATCTTCGCCTGTTGGCGCATTGGTGATCTCCTTGGGCGCATTTTCGGGCCGGGAGCCACGGGGGAGCGGTGTCACGCAGTCGCCAAACTGCGCTTCGAGGAACATGAGGATACGGTCGAGACGTTGACTGGGTGAGATATGAGCATGCGGGGAGATATCCTTGGGGGCTTCGGCAGAATGGTCATGGTCATCGTGGTGGTGGGTCGATTTGGAGGCGGAGTCTATATCGTTATATTAGTTGTTGCTTAAATATTAACATCTTACGCGGGGTACGGCTCACATTTGACCGCAGCTGGACTGCTCTCCAAGGTCATGAGGACTGCCAATACAGCGTCCGCAATCCCATCATTAAGGATATTGCCAACCCACTCCAGCTCAACATATCCCTTCATGCATCTAACTGTGACACAGTCCATAACCCTGAAGCTCCTCCCACTCATTTTGGACTTTTCTCCACCGTACACATTCGCGTCGTCGTCTTCCTGAGGGATATCCTTCTTACTTTCACTTTCACTTTCCTCCTCATCCTCATCCTCATCATCATCCTCGAGGTTCACAACACCACCAAACATACCCTCCAGACTCCAGCGCACAAGTGCGACTCCAGCTACACTCATGGGGACTTTTTGGCGGCATGTGACGACGGTGGTAGTGAGTCCGGCATACTCGCGGAGGTCGTCAGGTGCCATGAGGGAGAGCTTGAAATCGTTTTGGACAAGGACACCTGTGAGAAGCTGTTCTTTCTGGAGTTGCATCGCTAGAGATGCTGTTGGTGGGGGTTTCTGTGCGAGTTTGCCGACAACCTGGTGGTGGGGTTAGCTAGATCCCTCTCGAACTTAAGAGCATCAGGTATTATCACCTTTGCGACCTTGTCTCCCTTGAACGGGATTCGCAGCTCCTCGCAGTTCTTTGGACTGTAGATCTTGACTTTATCCTTGTCCTTCTTGTCAGAGTTCTTACTGAGGAGTGCCGACTTGAGGCGGCCCATATTGTTATGTTCCCCATGGACCAGGATTACGACTTTTGCTCCAACCTCCTCTATGAACCCAGAGTTTTGGCCGTAGTCCACATGAGCGGCGAATGAGAGTTCTTCAACACTGCAGCGTCGGGGAATCATAACCTGGCTACCGTCTCCGTCTCCTCTGCGATTGCCACCCCCGCGGTTTGCAGTCATGATGGCAGGGATCTCGGTGGGCTCGTTCATGATCTGCTTGGCCATTGTGCCTTCGACGCTATAACCAGTGATGACAAGGCCATTTCGGGGGTCGGGACACCATCTTTCGAGGAGTTCGCGGGATACACCGTTCTGTAGGTGGCAAAGGGGAATATGTTAGTGATTTTGCGGGATAATACGTGGAATAGAGGCACTCCGAATATACATGTGTTGTGGGCAAATGGGATGACCATGACAATGGTGAGGTTGATGATGATATGATGATGATGATGGAAAAGGTGTATATTTATTTTAACAACATCATGAATATCAAAGCGGAAGGAAATGATGATCTCCATAGCACACAACCACTTTGCGAGGATAGAATGTAATCCTAGCAATACAGTCGTGCCACTACCGGCACGAGGTATTGAGCCACGGAACCGGCAATGCTCTGCTTTTATCCTCCAAATGCCCCCAAACCCACATGAAATATAGAAGTTTGAGAAATATAGATACTGAAATCCAACAAACACCAAGATAACGACGTGCAATGATAAAAAGAAATATGATCTCCGGCGAAGGGTCAAAAGGGCTTTTACCTGCATCATTCCGGGACTTGCCAACATGACACAACCGCCCACGTCTTCGAACCTATCTATGGCCTTCAAAGATCTGACCCATCTAAAGTCCCAAGGATTCCTGCCCTCCTCTTCAAACATTGCCTTCTTTATTCTGTCGTTCATAGTATTAATATATGTTCTGTACACATCCATACATTTTCTGGCCAAATTAGAGGCATAGTAGATTGGATACGTCTGGAACTGGGGATGTTTCTCCCAATACTCGTCCAAAATAAGCAACAGTTCCTGTGCTCTCCCGAGAGCGAAGACAGGCATAAGAACTCTGCCACCACGAGTTAGAATGTCGGTGGTCATCTTCATGAGCCTAGCTTCCTTCTCAAGCCTAGGCATATGTGTAGCAGTGCCATATGTGGATTCACAAATAAGTAAATCCGGCTTATCAGGAGGAATCTCAGCAGATACTAAATGGCGGTCATCTTCACGGGAGTAGTCTCCAGTAAACATGATTTTGAGACCAGCAATTTCAATAAAGAACATTGCACCTCCGAGCACGTGCCCAGCATGGTAAGGTGTTATAGATATACCGGCATGAGTAAGCGTTGTGTGGTAATCAATTGCTTCAATTCGGGAGTATGACGAAAGATGGTCGGCTTCGTTGTAGAGGGTCTCTGGTGTGTTATGAACATTGCTGATATATATATTAATTAATTACTGTCAGGCCAAAAAGTCCCATGAACTCCAATACACACCTAACCCTAACGCTGTCCTGGATTAACCACTTGTAAATTGCCTTTGTGGGGTGGGTCATGAAAACGCGTCCTTTAAAGTTTGTTTTCGTCATGACATATGGCAAGCTTGCTGCATGATCCAGATGGAAATGGCTAATCAACAGCACATCAACGGTACTTAGATCAAACTCGTCGTAAAAGGGGAGCGCAGCAAGGCCATCGTATGCAGGATGAACACCAGCATCGAGCATGACAGTTTTTCCTTTGTACTGGATGATATGGCAAGAGCGACCAACTTCATTACCTCCCCCGAGACAGAGAAAGTTGAGGTAGTCGGAGTCATCCTGTCAATGTCAACGATGTTTGTTAGCTGGGGGACTATTATGTGGGAAGGTGAGGATGGTCGTGGAATAGAAGGCGGGGAGACGCACGATAACTTCCTCCTCGACGGTTGGCTCGAGTTTTCTTTTTGTAGCCATGTTTAATTTTGAAAGATATCCGAAATACTTTGAGACAAGGGAGCGAGCAGGTTGAGCACAGCACACAGCAACCGACGCGAGGAATAAACGTTTGTCCAGATACCAAAAAGCCACTCCGCAGGAGGGTAAATCTGTCACCTTGTTACCCTACCGAGTCTCCATTGTCCGTGCACAGGAGAATTTCCGGGTTCTTGGGCGCAGCCAAGACGACGACCACATGGCCAGTCAAAGCTCCTCCACGATAAGCTTCTAGCTCCGAGAAAGTTAATTTACATGAGAGGACTCTGGAGAGTTTATAACTGGGAGCGCGGTGAATCCCATTTGAGGTTGAAAAACAACTATGTGCCCGCCGAATCATGACATTCTGTTTAGTAGATTTAAGGAACATGACCTGAAACTGACGCGATCGGAGATGCAGGCCGGAGCACATCATGCTTTGGAGCAGGTACTCTGGAGTGCATGTGGGTGCAGCATACTATCGCTTAGGACTTTGAATAAGGACTTGTCCCATTCTTTACAGTAGAGTACTTTAGAAACAAATTTCATGATGCGTTCCGAGTAAACACCAGTTAAAGGGTCTAGATTTTATGTCTTTGAGGCTCTTAAATGATTGACTACAATGGCTGTACAGGTGCAAACCTAGCTCGGTACTTTATCTAAAGTTGTGCAGGAGGCGGTGCATGGACTGCACTGACTAAGGGTTCTGCCAAGACCGGTGATGCCTCTTGCTTGGGTCAACAGGGCCATGCTTGCTCTCTGTGCGACCGTCTCCCATATCTGGCGCTTCCCCAACGCCGTCGAACTTCGACCCTAGAATCCACAGCTTACCTTCTCCACCTAAACTCACCAACAATAGAACCCGCCCTTATCACCGTCACATCTTCTCGTGTTTCCCTTACTTTTCTTCCTAGATTTTTGTTTCCCTTCGTTCATTATTTCTTTTTTGGGTTCCTTACGCCTCCCATCCCGTCATCCTCACTCGTGGGGCCCCGTTCAAGCTGGTCACCGCTTAACCCAGTTATGAACACAACCACCACCGTCATGACGATGATTCAAGACGACGGAGGTGATGATAGCAATAGATGCGAGTTGTTGGGACCATTCGGTTCGTTTCTTCTGTCCATGGGAACGATGTGCGCGTTTCCTCTTTGTGCGGAGTGGCGGGAAAGCATGAGGAGCTCGAAATAATGAAACAGGCACTAATTTTTATATCATTATTTTTAAATATAGCTTTGTTTGTTCAAGCAGCCCTTGGAGGCATGGCGCTTCTATCGCTGGTGTGGAAACGATCTCGAGAATCCCCGCAACGACCACTGAAGATATGGTGAGTTAATCTCATTTACTGTGCGTTGCTAGCAGCTACTAATTTATCGGCGCGCAGGTGGTTTGACGTCTCTAAACAAGTTTTTGGGTCCGTTTTGGTACACATGGCGAATATCGTGCTTTCCATGCTCTCCTCGGGTACATTCGGCATAGAACCCACGCCAGCTGGAATGCTCCCTCCTCCTCCGGGTTTCCCGCCCCCTCGGGGCTTTGGCCCACCCCCTCCAGGCTTTGGTGGCCCACCCCGCTCCCGCCGTGACTTTGGCGGCCCACCTGAAGATGACCCAACGTACCATCCTAATCCATGTAGCTTTTATTTATTGAATTTAGGTATCGATGTTTGTACCCATCACTCCTCATATCGGTAAACATGGCTTATCCGTGACTACAGACTACAATCGGCATTGCAATCCTTATAGTTATACTCCGCGTATTACATACCCTTTTGGCTTGGTCACCATTTGAGTTTTTCAAGAGAGGAATAAATTCAGGTGATTACGGCGATCCGCCCAGATGGTCGTGGTGGCTGAAACAAGCCATCATTTACTTTATGGGATTGATGGGAATGAAGTTCGTTGTGTGGATCATATTTGCCCTTTGCCCTTGGTTAGGCCATGTCGGTGACTGGCTACTAGCCTGGACCGAGGGTAACAAAAGGCTTCAGGTTTTCTTCGTGATGTTTGTGAGTAATTTGTTTTCTAGTCCCTAGTCCTGAAGTTGTATACTAATAATTATTTTCCAGTTCTTTCCCTTGGTCATGAACGGTGTTCAGTACTATATCATCGATTCCTATATCAAGAAGAAGTCCGATAAACTTGGATGCGACGAGGATATTGCACCAATTCCTGGGTCCCTATCAAATCACCGTCGGTCCTTTGATAGCGCAGGCGATATTTTCAATTCAGATGACGAGGAAGCCAATGCGGATTCTCGAAGCCTTCTAAGACCATCCTCCCGCCGTTCCCGCGGAACCGATAAAAAGCTCGTTACACCAGTATTGGAAGAGTACAACCCAGATACTGACGGTTCTACACTCCAGGATGGCATAGGGACGCCGAGATCTACATCCCCTTCGAGCTCATATAACGCATTAAGAAGTGGAAGGCGGGGTCTAGGAAGCAGGAAAAGGAGCAACGTACCGGAGAGCAGTAAGAGTATGAATAGTTCTATGATGCTTCTTCCAGGAAGCAGGGGGCCTAGCACGCCTGGTTATGCGGAGGAGGAAAGTATTGTAAGAGGTTTTGGTGGGCGAAGAGGGAGCGATGACGATGAGACAACTTTGGTAGGAAAGGATGAAGATCTAGAAAGAGGAGGTAGATGATCGTGCGGCTGAAGGAGTTTTGCGACTACGTTTCCATTTCGGAGACTAAACCGCCAGTATACTAGCGAAGATGTAAAGTGCAGCACCCTTAGCAGGTGATGGCATTTTGGACATTAATTTCGCACCCGGTTCCTATTTCAGAAACGAGTCTCTCTTTCCCCTTGTTTTTCTTTCCTTTCTGTCATTTATCGTCTTTATTGTTTGGGCCGGGTTCTCATTTGCCGTTTTGTTCTTTTTTATCTTATGCATCTCATCTGCGAATGCTTTTATCTCTTTGTCTATTTATTATACAAGTAAGTTAGGCGTGCTAGCAAATAACGGAGTTGGTGGTTTATACAAATTAGTTGGAAACAATTTCTAAGGTGTGCCAACTAGAGGGAATATCCCCCAGGAATTTTCTGTTTCGTTTCACTGCGAGAAATGAAGATACTTTGCACCTTACAATGCTCCAGTGTTAGATGTCAAAGCTTCTAGGAAATTGTAGATTAAGCACTATTATAACTTTATGGAGTGCACAAGTTCTAAAATTATGGAACTACGTTTACTATTAATATTGGCCTTACGAGCACCTCAAGCGGTATCTCACGCCGAATTCTAGTTACTATTTATATACGTACAAATTTTTGATCGACTTCTCATATAGACGATGATGGCCTTAGCTGCTTTGACCTGGCATAAATACTGGGTGATCATGCACTCTTTGAACATATTCACACATGCACATGATGCGCTATGTTGCGAGCCGTCTTTAATCATGGACAAGGCGGGGCTTGCGGAGTTTGCGGGGGAGCTCCAGGGATAAGTAGGCGCTATCATTGGCAGCTTAAGGTTTGGCGTGTTATGTACAGTCGCCCTCTGATGTAACGAATGCCACTATACCGAATATTTGCTGTACCGAACCACTTGGGCCAGCTTCTTTTTTATTTCAGCAAAGAATTTAGTCTGCTATACCGAATAATACCGAATAATCTGCTGTACCGAACAAAAAATGGCCCAATATGCACGTTCGTTATAGCGGAGGGCGACTGTAGTAGAAGAGACCAGGTCCGCGGGTAGGCCGTTCGTATATTACATGTAGATACAAGTAAATAAATAAGATTAAATAATTACCTAAGTACATACCTACAAATGTAAATGTAAGTATTGTCGATAATGACTAGACCTTCTTGTCGTGTGTCCATAACGCAGCATATTGTAGATGTATATGTTGTCCTATTGAATACATGTAGTATTTATAATCGCCCTGTATGCACTCAAATCTTGTAACTTCCTTTATTCCCGACGCTTAACAGCCACCATCTCCAAACCTATATTATGATCGTGGAAATGTGATCCCGTTTCCTCACGTAGCACCTTCCAGTTACCAGGTCATAATCCTGCATGTTTAATTGGGTGCAGAATGGCTGAGGCTCAAGTCTTGAACCCTGGAATCACCGCCAAGGTTTCCTGCATCATGGCACAGCGTAACCTTCTCTTGGTTGGTGTCACGATAGCCCTCGCTATCTCCAGAAAAACCCAGCTACAACTTGCCACTGACTGAACCTGGTCATCCCGGTTTCTTGACTAACTCCTCTTCTTCTGCTCTCCACTGCTACTGCCCTCCCCACATTTGCAATCACTCCGTTTTTTCCGCTTGTGCCCCCCTCTCACAAACTGTGTTTTATGAAATTGACAGGAAGCATTGGATATTAACTGCCACCAATCCCAACCCCTCACACATACTTATTTTTCTGTAAAAACTATGGGCGCAGAGCTCTCCCACGAAACGACCGTTGACGAGGATGTTGCACCCGTGGTTTTAACTGACCGAACGGTGAAGGCAGTCGCCGAATTCATCTTGTCCGGAAATTGTAAGAAGGTGGTCTTTATGGTACGTTTTTGTTAAGCGCCATTACATATAACGGAGTTACTGACTTTGTGAAAGGTTGGCGCCGGAATATCTACGAGTGCTGGGTGAGTTAACACAGAATTCCCGACTTTACTTTATGGTGGTAAACAGATCATTGACAGAATCCTTAGTATTCCAGACTTTCGAACCCCTGGAACAGGTTTATACTCAAATCTTCAACGATTGAACCTACCGCATCCTGTAAGCCACGATTCTACCCTTACCTTGCTATAGAGCTGGGTGCATATATATTGAATAACTAGAGCCAATGCGAGTGAAAACTTTAGGAAGCCGTTTTCGATATATCTTTCTTCAGAGAGAACCCAGTCCCATTCTACACCCTCGCCCGGGAGCTATACCCGGGAAACTTTAAACCAACGGTCACCCATGCGTTTATTCGCCTTGTTGCTGACAAGGGATTACTGCTGAAATGTTTCACCCAGAACATCGACACGTAATTAGCCCCACCAGTAACACGAGGAAATCCATGTCCCAATTAGTGGGCTAGCTGACACAGTGTATAGTCTGGAGAGGGCCGCCGGTGTCCCTGCAGATAGGATGGTGGAGGCCCATGGCTCTTTTGCAAGCCAGCGCTGTATCGACTGCAAAGCTCCCTACTCCGACTCCGATATGCGCCACCATATCAATAGCGGGACCATTCCACGATGCCCTTGTGGCGGTCTCGTAAAGCCTGACATCACGTTTTTCGGCGAAGCTCTTCCTTCAACATTCCACGACAGTATCCACTTGGCCGAAGAGGCAGACCTCGCGATCGTCATGGGGTCTTCGCTGAGCGTATACCCATTCGCTGCACTCCCTGGTAGGTGCAGCGACACATGTGCGCGCGTGTTGATCAACATGGAAAGCGCAGGAGGAATTGGCTCCAGAAGGGATGATGTACTCATGTTGGGCACGTGCGACAATGGCGTGCGGAGATTGGCAAAGGAGCTTGGTTGGGACGTGGAGTTGGAAAAGCTGTGGAACTCAATCCGTGGAAGCGAGGAGCCGCCTAAGGTTAGAACAGACGAAATGATTGAAGAAGAGGTGAGGAGATTGACGGAGGAGGTGGAGAGGGAGCTGAGAGTTGCGGAGGAGTACAAGGGACGGGTCGAGGAGAAATTGAAGACTGAGGATGAAAGGAGGAGGGAGAAGGAGCTAAGGGCCAAGATTGAGGAGGACCTGGAGGGAAAGGTGCCGAAAAGTGAGGAGCGAGTGGATAACGCAACTACAGAGTTGGAGAACGAGATGCCGCGTTTGAGTCTGAACGGCAAAATCTAGATTCCGTTAGTTGGTAGCAAGACAGTCTTTTTTTTCCTTTGCGCAGCTCGATTGTTTAGATTTTATCCAGCGCCCCTGTTCATAAAATCTTGTTTTATTTTTATATCCTTTGCCTAATTGTGAAGGCTGATTCGTTTTTCGAAGGGTTCTTTGATGTATGGCTGATAGGACGTATTCCTAGACTCGTCGGGTTTTCCTTTATATTGTACGTACATACGCACTTGGGTTTGTGGGTCCAGAAGGCCGAGTGAGATATCATGATTTCAGAATAAACAAAGCTAGCCACTCTTAAAACTTCAAGCACACGGGATCACCCCCTACATTTAAGATAAGTTTCTGTCGGTATTTGACCTCGGTGGAGTATTTGCACTTAATGCACCTACCCATGCCACGATAGTACATGGTAGAGTACATGTGGCACGGGCCCTTGGCTCGGACAACACCGGAATAAATGTCCTGGGCCTCCGTTCAAAACAGTTGCTGTTTGAATGAAGCATTGAATGGATGACAAGGCGTGTAGCAATGATGGCCCGGCTAGAATCAAAGCTGAGCCAGAGTGGTTGGTGGTCGGAGAATATAATAGGGGCAATCAAGGTGAAGAAAACCGTGTTGGATGGGTTGAGTTGATCTTTTGTTTAGATAAAGCGTGTTTAGAAAACCTCAACTCAAGCTAAACAAAACTCAACTCGCCCTTAGTGTGATGAGTTGAGTGAGTAGCTGTGAGCTTGCCAAAGAAGGTAAAGTATATACCAATTAAAGAAACCTCAACACAAGCTAAAAACCTCAACTCGCTCTGAGGTCAGTTGGATGTGTTGGGTTGGGTTGAGGTCGACAAAGAAGGTAAAGCGTATACCGATTAAAGAATAGTGGAAGCCTTCCCGTGGATATTCTGAAGGTGTTCAAACTTGAAGCCTTGAAGATAAGTTACAGGTCTTGCATAGAAACGGCTCACAACAACTCTGTAGACACCCCCTGGGGGGATCTACAGACCACATTTGAACGCCTACAAATCTTCAAAAATATCCACGGGAAGGCTTCCAGTGTGCGACTAAATAAATGTTCCGGCGCCCGCTAACGAAAACTCAACAGGTTCAACTTTTGTTTCTTCAGAGGGGTACTCAGCGGGAGATTGAACATAAACGCCTTTAATTACTTACTTCCGTCCTATCCATGCTACTTTACCCCCCAACCAAAGTACCTATTTCCAGAAATAACCCTCCCTTTCAACCCCCCCTGTCCTCTCTTCCCCCAATCGCAATGACGGCATGGAGGCCTGACTCAAACCCGTCCACTCTGATCTTTTCCACAAGTCTCCGCACGTACCGGAAAAAATAAATAAAAACTTGAAACGATGATAAATCAAAAAAAGAAGTCGATCCAGTTGACCCCCCTGTCCTCATTACCAAGAGTGTTGCATAATGCTTGGCGGGTCAGTAATAGCTAAACACATCTTCAAACCTTTAAACTGCTGGCCCTATCTTTTCTACATACACAGTTGCTGCTTCCCCTATGTGAGCGAGCGAGTGCAGGCAAGTTACTATCATCATCTATGCGCAAGGTAAAACGGAGATTCTCAGTCAGAAACAGCGCTCCAGAGTAAGAAAACATGTCCTCAGGTAAATAGAAGCCGGATAAACCTGCGGAGTAGGGGGGTGGGTTAGTAATGATCGAGTAGCAGTTTTACTAATACTCAATTGTTTGAACAGGCATTTCACGCAGCAGAAGCTTAGCACGCTCATTCAATACTTACGCCCACCACTACACTCACAGCACACTCTCGGCTTCCTCCACAATCTCCACGTCCCTCTTCACGCTCCCCAACGAGCTTCTCCTCCTTATCGCCTCTTTCTTGACCCCAAAGTCAATCAGCAACCTTATCAAAGCCAACCGCTACCTCACCCTCCTCCTCACACCGCAGTTGCAGGCACACGCGCTCCTTCCGCAATATGGTGAGACAGCCCTATGGTTCGCAGCCAAAACGAAGCAAACGGCCTTCGTCCGGCGCATCCTTGAACACGGCTCCCGCGTCGCCGTTCGCGAGATAACAATTGCCGACGCGATGCTCGGCGCCATCCTACACACCTCACCAGGAAAGCCAGAAGATTGGCTAGTTAGACTGCTCATAGAGAATCCTCGAAAAGTCATTATACATGACACGCGTTGCGGCGGGACACCAATGCATTGGGCTGCTCACTACGGCCACGCGGATATAGTCCGCTCACTGCTCGAGCACCGCGTCGATATCCGCATCAAAGACGGGCGTGGACGGACGCCCCTCCACTGGGCTGCGAAGGCAGGCTATGAGGGTATAGTCATGATGCTTCTGGCCTCTGGTGCCCCAGTTGACTCGCAAGATAACTATGGGGATACCCCACTGCACCGGGCTACGGAGCAGTCGCATACAGCGGTTATTAAGGTACTGCTGGATAATGGTGCAAATGTTGCACTGACGGAAGGGGATGGCGCCACGGCACTCCATTGGGCGGCGGCGTATGGAAAGGATGAGATTGCGTTGATGCTACTGCGGAGCCATGCAGATACGGAGAGTAGCGGGAGGAACTCGGAAACGCCATTGCACCAGGCAGCGGCCCACGGGCACGTAGGTGTCGCCAGGATGCTGCTGAAATTCGGAGCGAAAGCGGAGGCGGTCGATGAGTTTGGATGGACGCCTTTGCATCACGCGATTGCGAACGGGCACGAGGAGGTTGCAGTGCTGCTGGAGAGTCGGGTAGAGGTGTCAAGTAGGGATAGGAAAAGGAAAAGGGCCGCAATCGGGAAGGCCATCAGAGATATGAATATGAGAGCGGTGAGGTGGTTTTTGAATAGGATCAGGGCCAGAAGTGCGTGACTAGATTTGAATGTAACGTTGGCCTATATAGTTTATTGGGTTCGTTTTTCTATACCTCAGTTTATAGGGTTTTTCCTTCTTCCTTGTTTTTCTGGTGTTTATTCTTCTTTTACTACTATTATCTACATTATCATTATAAGCATTGTCTACATCGCTACTAGCCGTATTTCCATAGGCATATCTAGCGCCATAGCTACATCCATAGAGAGGCAGTGGAAAATGAACACAGGAAGGAATTTGATACTCATTTATTTGGCCCAGTTTCTTTCTGTCCTACCATGCACAATTGTGCGGCACAACTGTCGACTATCTTTGCCAAGGAAGATATTTCCAGCCGAGAAGCGATCCATGTAAGCAGAAAAATTTAATTTCTCTTCTCTGCGCAGGGTCTAGTTTACGAAGTCTGCATTACGCAGGTCGACGGCTGTGCAGAGCCTACGGTAACAGGTGCGTACGTTACGATCGTACGAGGAATCTTTTGGAGTGGAAGTAGTGGAGTAAGCTTCCCAGGGCGAAGCTTTTTTGTGGATTACCCTTATTTATCGAATTTATCTTGGTAGTCTGAAGTTAGTATATACATGTAGTATATATATAACGTAGGGCTAGGCCCGGTGCATGGAGGTAAATGATATATAGAAACTCGTCCTTTTTTTTTTTATATATATGTGGTTGAGGATGTAGTTACCCAGCTCACGGTATGTAACATACGTGCCGTACCGCATCATGTATTGTGCTGCCGCGGACGTGGCAGTATGCAGGAAGAACTTTAATTTAAATTGATTAACACACGTGATTGATTGAGAATGACATCAGAAGGGGGATTAGGCCGGATAATAGACACATACTCGGTGGGTTTGTGCATACATTGTAGGCCATACGTAGGCGCACTAAGGGGCCGTATGTTACTCTACATAGAGTATCAACTTGGAGACGTAGAGCATGCCTACATCTTACCCATGCCCGGAGAATTAGTGGTAACCGCTCAAAAAATTAGGTGAGAGATCACGTCCCGAGGCCGGTAGGAAGCTTCTATCGGATTCATGCTCCCCGAATTTAGACCACAGACGTGCTTAACACAGCTAGTAGGTCATTGAAAATGACAATATCACCGACTAGTAGCGAGAGCGATATTTCATAGTGCTGGATCAACTCATGAGGCCCGGGCGGGGCTGACCGGGGGGGGGGGGGGGGCGAGAGTACAATCAGGCTCAGGCTGGGAATCTTAGACCTATGCTGTTTTTAACACTCGTCACCACGGCGTACTATTATTAAGACGAGGGCTGTATACCTTTACCTTAGTTTTGTCTTCTTGATTATGGCAGCTAGCGAGAATCATGGATGAGGGTTTGAAAGGCGTGCAAAGTTTCAAAGAAAGAGACTGAGGAATGACAGAAGCTCAATGAGTTGAGAAATAAAGATCTAGTTTTCTAACTACATGTACAGTTACAAAAGAGGAACATGCCAAGGTGTCGGTTGACATGACGTGTCCTGGCACGGCCTCGCTACTACTTGAAAAAGCCACAATTGCCGTGATTCTTGACCTCTCGAGTGATAATGTATGATGCAACCTAGCCACTCGCATATTAATCCCAAGCCTCTTTCCCACGGGTAGACGTGATCCCACGGGTAGACGTGATCTTCTGACTGAACACGCTTCGCGAGCGGATGAGTTATTGTATGCTGTGAACGTCTACATGTATCGCTCTATCCCCGCAGGGTAAGTAGCCTATAAGAACCTGAGTAAGATTTCATCTTGTTGCCCTCGAGACCTTCTCGTCACCTCTAGCGATATGGCTCCTCATGTCATCTGCCACGCACCTTTGGACTTTCACTCTGGCCCGCAAACGAGCACTCATCATCCAGTTCGAATTCCTGGGAAGCAAAAGTCTGGGAGGAGCGGTTTTCTGTAAACTAATCGTTACTAGTTACTATGTTCGCTATCCCGGGGTTCCTGGGTGGACTAGAACAGTCGCACCTAGCTAGTCTTGGTGTCTATGATCGGTGTAGGATCTCTTCCTTTAATTAGCAGTTTTAGCGGCAGTTTTAGTATTTCTATATAATGTTTAATCACCTAGTTGTGCGATTGACTTGTTTACTGATACATGCATGCTGTTCCTAGCCATACCAGGCCTCTTCACAAACCATCACTCGG